ATCCGGATTATTCCGGATCTCCTTACTTTCCGCCGCGCCCTCAAGACATGGCTTTTCCAACAAGCGGGCCTGGCCTAGGGAGGATTTTTAAACTGGGTTTTTTAGAAATTTTAATTATCACAACATAAAAATTTTGGTTTTAATTTGGTTTTATTCGGTGGGGTCTGTGGGTCTTTCTTTGTTTTAATAATGTTGTGAGCCGCCCTGAGTCCTTCGGGAGAAGGGCGGGATATAAATTGAAATAATAATAATAAATAATAATAATCTTCCCCTGTTTCTTGCTAATGCTTTAAAAAAAAATAGGCAGAGGGAATGCCTAATGAAAGAAGCTCTCATTTAACTGCCAAGGACAATACAAACTTCATTTAAATCCCCCTGAGATCAAAGATTAGATCTTAATCCTGAACCATTTTTCCCAGCTCTAGCCAAAGAGACATCTTACTGCGGAAGTGCCGGTATTTATTTATTTGTCAAATTTATATAGCCAGCCATCTCACAAAACAAGGGACTCAGTACATTCTAGGGAATTAAGGATAGTCTTGTGGGGTTCTTGGTGCTCTTTGAGCTTGGTGATTTTCTTACAAATGTTTCATGACCCAGCAAGGTAACATTACCAATTATAGAAGCCGGTGGGATTTTCTCTCTGTTTATATACTAGTGGCTTGCCCTGTCAGTGTCAATGGGAGTGTTCTTGGTGGTTTCCCGATTAGGCTGGTGTTTACTGAGTGGGTAGTTCCTTGATTGGGGTATTGTAGGTTAGACTTTGTTGCCATGACTACTTTCTTTTTGTGTACAGCGAACACGAGAGATAAACAGATCAATCCAACATATGAGTGGTCCCAACAATTTGTCTTTCCCCTTACAGATTCCTTCTGTTGCACTGGCCTATGAGAAAGCGGAGAGTGACATCATGAAGAGGAAACCGAGGCACAAAAAAAGAGACCGATTGGTCAACCAGGAGCTTGTAGTCTACTCCTACTTGCACATCGGTATGATAGGGACATTCTTACCAGAGAAGAATGAGTAGGCGCTTGGGTGGATCTTTGTGGGTGAACATGGAGAGTATTTCTCATCTTTAACGACCAACTTCAGGATCCTGCTAACTGGGATCCAAATGTCTCCAGAGAAAGCAATCAACTTTCTTCTCCTGTAAAAAAAAGGCCATTCCTTTCTTCTCTCTTGCAGGCATGCTCCAAAGCATCGGGGCCCTTTTGACCTATTTCACTGTTTATGCTGAGCAAGGCTGGCTTCCTTACTCTCTTCTTCGTATCCGAATTCCATGGGAACAGGAATATTTGGCTGACTTGCCCGACAGCTATGGACAAGAATGGGTAGAGTGTTGCAAATCTCTTTCATTGAAGGCATCAGTTATTCTGAGCAAAAGACAAGGACCAGTCCAGGAGATTCCACTTAATTGTTTCCCACCTCAGCCCCAAAGCCAGCTGGTGACTTTGGGCCAGTTCTTAACTGTAGGAAGTCATCCAGGTCATGGTTGTCCCAAAGCTGCTTTTTCAAGAGGCAACTGGACTGTCTTCGGTTTCTTTCCTTGCGAATGTTTGGCTTCTCATCCAAGAAGCTTCTGAAGAACTGAATGTGTTCGAGAGAAAAAAACCAAGAAAGTCCAGTTGCCTTTTGGAAAAGCACTTATGGGACGAAGAAAGCAAAGATAAACTTCTTCCAACAATGATGTCAAGAAGACAGCAAGGACTAGTCCAGGCAGTTGTCATTAGCTAACATTGATTCAAACCTCCCCCCACCCCAATAGCTATAGGTATGGCAAGGGTAATAATTTGTTCAGTGCTAAATCCATTAAAACACAGTAACTGTATTTTTTTAAAGTTGACTCTTTAAAGTTGACTTCTGGTAACCTCGTAGTTTTCTTCCTTAGAGTCTGGAAGTATTTTGGCATTGCCTTCTTTCAAGATAATTTTTTTGATTTCCCAACCTAGCCTAAAGCCTTGAGACTTCCTTATAGTCTTTCACCTATGCCCCGACTCACACGGGGGGACACACACTAGATCTAATTTTTGTCTCTGGCCAGTGGCAGAATGATCTGGAAATGGGGGAGGTAGTTGTTGAACCCCTGTCATGGTCAGATCATTCACTCCTCAGGATGGACTTCCGGACCGCTCCCCCCCGCCGCAGGGAGGAGGAACCGCCTAGATGGTTCCGCCCCAGGCGCCT